GCTCTGTCACCCAGGCTGGAGTTCAGTGGCTCGATCTCGGTTCACTGCAAGCTCCGCCTCCCAGGTTCATGACATTCTGCTGCCTCAGCCTCCCGAGTAGCTGGGACTACAGGTGCCTGCCACCATGCCTGGCTAATTTTTTTGTATTTTTAGTAGAAATGGGGTTTCACCATGTTAGCCAGGATGGTCTCGATCTCCTGACCTCGTGATCCGCCCGCCTCGGCCTCCCAAAGTGCTGGGATTACAGGCGTGAGCCACTGCGCCCGGCCAAAAAATAAAAACATTTAAAAAGCCAGTTTCACTTGAGATTGTCCTCAATGAAGCAGTAAGAACTACTAATTTTATTACATTTTGGTCTTTGAGTACACATCTTTTTAAATATTCTGCATGACAATAAAGGAAGTATTCATTGATAAAGGAGTCTGTTGCATAGTGTAATATGGTTGTCTTAAAAGCACTTGCATGATTGTGTTGTGTACTGAATTTTTTTTTTTTTTAAAGGAAATACCACTTAAAAAAATGACAGACAAGCTATGGTTGTTCAGACTTGGACAGGTGGCAGATATTTTCTTGAAAATTTACAAAGTGAGTCTGTCACTTCAAGGAAAACAACTGACAATATTCATTGCTAATGATAAATTTGAGCTTTCAAGCAAAAATCAGAACCTTGGAAAACTTGTAGCTGTCACCATGAACTTGATAGCATCCCATTGCTTAAGGTATTTTCTGTGTGGCAATATCAATGCCACATGTGATTTTTTGGATATTGCATAAATGAATCAGTTAACATTTGGAAGATCTACATAACACAATGAACTAATATTTTTTCCAAATAAGCAATCTATGATGTTATAGAGTTATAAATGGTTGAAAGATATATGCAAAGTGCAAGACAAACCAATGTAATGTATTTTTAACATAACAGAGTATGAAAAGCTCATTAACAGAATTTCAGATTCCAAATTGCAACTGATCTTTAAGAAGCTACTACTTGTGGGCTGGGTGCAGTGCTCATGGCCATAATCCCAGTGCTTTGGGAGGCCAGGGTGGGAGGATTGCTTGAGGCCAGGAGTTCAAGACCAACCTAGGCAACAAAGCAAGCCCTAGGCACAATGGTGTGCACCTGTAGTCCCAGTTACTGGGGAGGCCAATTACTTGAGTCGATTACTTGAGTCCAGGAGTTGGAGGCTACAGTGAGCTGTGACTGTGCCACTGAACTGCATCATGGGTGACAGAGTGAGACTCTGACTCAAAAAAAGAAAAGAAATGAAATGAAACTACTACTTGTGGAGTTTTGTGTAGTATTGAAGAATATTCACAATTTTCTTCACATTCACAATTATCTTCAGATTGCACTTCACAAGTTCAGATAATTGTGAATATTATTAAAACACTATTTTTTTTCAATTAGAATGTATTTTCTTCAAATCATTCAACCGAGGCAACATATTACAACAGACTGAATGAAGGCGCAAATATGAGAATCTAGCTGTCTTCTATTTAGCTAGTCATTGAAGAGATTTACAAAAAAGTCACTATTATAAAATAGTTATTTTCCAAAAAATATGATGTGATAATTTTTAATGGGCTTATTATTTTGAAATAAATAAACATTTTAAAATTTTCTATGTTAATTTCCAATGGGGTAAATGCCAATAGATAGAGGCCACATAGAGAAAAGCCTTTTGGAGTCTTCAATAATTTTTGAGAGTGTAAGGGGGTTCTGAAATCAAAAGTTTGCAACTGCTTCTCTGAGGCAGTGGTTCTCAATCCTGACAGCAGATCATCTGAGGAAAATAAAAAATGCCTCCGCTCAACCCCCAGGTCAACTAAATCAAAGTCTCAGAGGTTGGGATCCAAGCAAGTTTTTAAAAACGTTTCCCCACAGGGTTTTAATGTGTAGCCGGGGCTGAGAACCACTGCTCCAACCTCTTGCTGCATACGCGTCAGATAAAGTGGGCAGCAGGAAAGGATGGATCTGCCAGAGGCAGCTCTTTGGAAGGATCTGGGCTTATTAGTGTCAGGCAGGGGCCATCTAGATAGGTGACAGTCTTTGATATGTGGATGAAATGAATGAATGAGATCTGGAGACCGGGAGGAGCAGTTCACTAAGAACTCTGGCAAGGGAAAGCGGCTCTCCAGCCCTCTAAAGGCACCTGCACATCAGTCAGCCGGAAGAAGGAGCTGGTGGGCAGGGCACAGCCTTTCCCTGGTAGGGGAAGTTAACTCCTTGCCTCTCAAGGGAACCCACTGTCCTTCCTCCGGTGCCAGAAGTTTCCCGGCTAGCCTTCAGGCCTGAGGTTTTGTTTCTAGACTTTCTAGTGTGGTTGAGGTAACCAGTGGCACTCTCAAGGTCTCGCCCTATCATCATCCTCTCAGAGATAAAATATGTGCTGGGAAATACTCACAGTCCAGCAGAGAATGGCAAATCCAAACCAGGCAACCCCCCAGGCATGTCGGTTCATTGGTCCAGAGATCAGTTCATAGCAGCCCTGAAGGAGTGGGCAATTCCGCATTAGTGTGAGAAGAACCAGAAAGCAGAGAAGAGATTGATGGAAAGCAGGCTCCTCTTGGAATCAATATTGCCTAAGAGTCTGATTTCACATACCCAGGCTATTTCCACGTCTCTGGGGACAGCCAGCTACTACCAGTGCTTTACTGAGGGAACACAAACAATGCTGTTGAACAATGATTCTACATCACATTTATTTGTGTCTTTATCACTTAATCTCACTACAAAGTACTGCTATTTTAGCATAACACTGTTTCTATACTGAATACGTGGACAATAAATTCAAAAATCTTAATTCAATTAGAATTTTTTCCTCTTCAAAGGTTTTATTGGTGATTTATTTGGAGGCAATTACTTTTTGATTTGTTTGTTTTTAAATAAAAATGCTTCGGTCCGTGAAAACCAGAGGTCTCCTGTTGCCATTTTTAATAATCACTAAAGGAACCCCTGCATTATGCTCCCTGAATTCTCATTTGATGTTATATTTCAACATTACTGAATTCTGATGAGACCTTGAAGGGTCACAGTGAGCATGCAAAAGAATAATTTTTTTATTCACTAAATCATTCATTCATGCATGTCACAATCCAGTAAGTATTTATACATGGCATACTCTATCCTAGTCACTGTGCTAAGTTCTGGAGTGATATACACGTGTAAGGCTAGAGCTGCCATCTGAGCAGCCTCTACCAAAGCTCTGGGAACCAAAGGGAATGCCTAGGAAATCCTATAACCAGGGCTGGTTCCATGGACCATGCGGCCCTGCCTCTCACCCCATCTTCCACTACTAGAGGAGGTTTCTCTATAAAGCGAATGAGCTTAAGCTTCAGGGCCCCTTACTTGAAAGACCCTTTCAAGGCCCTGTGCCTAATTTTTTATGCGTATTTTTATTGTTTTTCCTAAGAAGGATCCTTCCCTATAATTTGTGTGTGAGGGTGGGGGTGGGGGGTTCCAGCCACAAAAAATCTAGCTCCATCCTTGTCTTCTACTCGTCATTCACTCATTCTGGCCTTGTCATATTGATCTCCTTTGTGCTCCTTCAAAAAGCTGGGCCTGCTCCCACTTAAGGGCCTTTGCACTCACAGCTCCTTTCATGTAGAACTTTCCTCTCCAGTCTTCCAGTGTCTCATTTTCTCGCTTAATTCAGACCTCTGCAAATATCATCTCAACAAAGCCTTTCCTGACAGTGACAGAGAAAAAGACCCTTTCTCCATCCTACTCTATATACTCACCCTGCTTTATTTCTGCTCATGGCCTTTTTGGGCCTGGAATTTTATCATGTATTTGTTTGGTAACATGTTTATTTTCTGTCTCCCATGCTAGAATGCAAGCTCCATGAGGGCAGAGATTTTATGTTGTTCACTGTTGAATTTCTAGAACCTAGAATAAGTGCCTGGCACATAGTAGACACCTAATAAGCATTGACAGAATGAATGGAACATTAAGTAATGTTTACAACAGTATAACTTGCAACACACTTGAGGGTTCACAGAACACTCCCATGTCTGTTACTCCTGAGTCCTCCCAACAATCCCAGGAGGTGGGCATTCATTTAATTATATATATATAAGAGCCCACTTATGCCAGGTACCAAGTACTGGCTGGGCATTTAGCTGTGGCAAACAGAAGTAGGCCTTGCCTTCATGAAGGTCACAGACAGAAGCCCCATTTTTCTCACCTCTTCTCATTTAAGTGCCTTTTCGTGATGCTAGTCAATTTAGTGGTTCTTTACTTGATTTTCCTTCATTTCATGATAACATTTTTGAGGTATAGTGATGACAATTTGCATATAGCATTTCTGAGTCACATAAACCATAACATAGAATATATATATTTGCATCTGACATGCTGTGTGAAATTCTAGTTAATTTCTACTATTACCAGGCTTATAGTGACTTCCCTAATTTCATTAGTCTTCACAGCTATAGCAGCACATTTGTGCATTGTAGATCCTGAAAACCTACGATATGGATGTGAAAAAGTGAAGCCTGGTCAACACAGTGAGACCTTATCTCTACAAAAAATAAAATTAGCCAGGCCTGGTGGTACACGCCTGGAATCCCAGTTAGTTAGGAGGCTGAGGCGGAAGGGAGGATCACTCGTGCCCAGGAGTTCCAGGTTGCAATAAACTGTGATTGTGGCATGGCACTCCAGCTTGGGTGACAGAGTGAGACCCTGTCTCTCAAACAAAACAAAACAAAACAAAAACCAGGCCGGGCACGGTGGCTCATGCCTTTAATCCCAGCACTTTGGGAGGCTGAGGTGGGCGGATCACAAGGTCAAGAGATCGAGACCATCCTGGCCAACATGGTGAAACCCCATCTCTACTAAAAATACAAAAATTAGCTGGGTGTGGTTGTGTGCACCTGTAGTCCCAGCTACTTGGGAGGCTGCGGCAGGAGAATCGCTTGAACCTGGGAGGTGGAAGTTGCAGTGAGCCAAGGTCGCGCCACTGCACTTCAGCCTGGCGACAGAGCGAGACAGACTCCATCTCAGAAAAAAAAAAAAGAAAGAAAAGGAAAACCATTCCCTATTCACTTCTTTATTCACCCATCTATCAAACATCGGTGCTTGCCTTGTGCCAGGCGTTATGCTAAGTACTAAAAATATCAAATCTGTAGAATCAAATAATACATAGTCCTCAAGGAGACTCAGAAAAAATAGACTTGGGAACAAATATAGTTTCAGGTGGTGAATGCAATAATAGAAATAAAGTATACTAGGTCTTGGGGTGGCACCTTTTGCTTGGTGGAAAAGGACAGCAAGAGGGGACTTAGCAAGATCTATGAGCCAGGGAGAATGGTGGTGTGTGGGAATCTGGGAGGCTGGGCTAGGGAGAATCAGAAAGGATTAATAGATAAGAGATGATGTCAAAGGAGCAGAATGAGTGAGGTTGAGAAACAGGGAGCACAGGATGTCAGGAACAAAAAGAGGAATTTCAGAATTCAGGAATTTAGTGGAGGAGTAGGGCTGAGTGATGATGAATTTGTAGTTGGTAGGCAGTGGAGGTGGAGTTGTTAGAACAGATGAGGCCAGGGAACTGCAAGGGAACGTGTTAGAAACATTGTCAAAATGGGTGTGGAGGTCCCAAGATAGAGGAAAAGAGTTCATTTGTATCTTTTCCTCAATTTCTCATGTATCTAAACTTGAGAAAAGGAAGTTGCTTCAGGTTTGTCCTCATAACTACAATATTATATGTGCTAGGAAAAAAATGTGTAACTATGAAATAAATGGTTATCTGAAGACAAATGTCTTATTTTCCTCCCTTTCAAAGAGGTAATACCGTTTGTACACAATTACAATCAATCAATTGTACACAATTACAATCCAACGTGCATGAGCCAGTTCCAATGTTGAAATATCAAAAGCCTTTTATAGTCCTGAGAATAATTATATTGCACAGCATGATTATAAGCAGCGAATTTAATTTTTAATAAGTCTGAATATAATTGATTAAAACAGTGCCAGACAATGTTGCAGTAAAGCTCAATGAGGGTTGCTTTGGACACTGCTACAAAATGATCTAGATCACTCCCATGCCCTTTTCTGGAATAATGCATCCAGTTCCAGTCCCGGCACCCTGTCAGGTATGTGGTGATCAACAGTGCCATGTCCTTCACTCTGAAAGTGCAGTTTGTTCTACTCCCAAACAAAAGAGCCTGACATTTCTCAGTTATTTAATGAGCTGGTACACCACTAGCTTTCCTTAAAGAAAGCTTTCCTGAGCAGAGCACAGCGTTTCAGTGTACAGTGTCAGCAGATGCTGACTGCAAGTATATGGGGATTCTCACCAGGACTTTTGGGGAATATTAGCAAGTCTTCATTGGCTTAGAGTCTGTGCTTGAAGCCAGAAAACTCGTGTTTCAAAAGCCAGAGGGTTTTTTGAAAAGATGGACATTTACTAGTTGTGTGGCCTCGGCAAGGTATTTGTTAGCATCTCTATATCTAAGTTCTTCATCTGTAAAACAGGGATCCTACTGGCACCTACTACTGAGCATTAAAGGAGATAGTAGATGTGTGGCACTTGAAACAGTGTTTGGCATTTAGTAAGTACTCAATAAATGTTAGTTTTCATGATTGTAATCACATTATCCTCATCAGCCTGGAAACTTTTTCAAAAACTATCTGTATGTAAACTACTTTCCATCCAAATCACCAACCTAATGTTTATTAAGACTGTACTACTTTACCATTGAATAAGGAATGTGGATGTGTAATTACTACATTTATCCTCAGCAATAGTCATTGCTTTGGAATTGGCAAAACATTCTTTTTGCACATCATCCCTTCCAATTTACGTTTTGCAAAACTAGAGGAAAACTTTGTTTAATGTAAATATTTCTTGAAATACCAATTCTATACATTGAACAAATTGTCTTTATTTAAACGAAGTTGGATTCCGCTATTGCAGTTCTCATGTTTTGTTAATTTTATTAAAATGTAAATTTGCCCCTGTCAGTCCTAGTTTAGCATTTGCAGTTTATTAACAGAGAAGGAAATAGTTAACATGAGGTTTAGGGAAAAGAATGTAGAATTCCTTACTGAAAGACTATTTCCTACAGTTGACCAATATTTTCCTCATAAAGAGCAGCAGAACCTCCTGGCAAGTCTTGGGAGGAGAGAGGACTCACCTGATTGTGATAAAAACCAGGCACGCCTAGTTTACAAGCCTCCAGGTTGAGAGGTTCTTTAAGATTGTTCATAACACAGCACTGACGAGGCCAGGGATAGTCAGCATCATTATTCTCAGTCCGGAAGGCAGACGTGTATTTTTGCCAGTCTGATGGACCATTTACGCCACAGCAGTTATCCTGTCAGCAGATGAGAGATACAAAATTCTCTTTCGTGGTCCCTACTAGAGCCATCGATGTAGCAACTGAAATTTTATAGAGAAAGAAGATACGGAAAGTGTACCGTATCTTACATTTACTAAGAAGTCCCCAAATGACAGCTGAAGGTATTGATAACTTACAACTGACATTTTACAGTTTGTAAAATAATTTTTACACTATTACTTTACTAGTCATTAGTGAGCCCTGTAGCCACTGACATGTTACTTAAACTCTCTAAGCCTCAGTTTCCTTAACTGTAAAATTGGAATATAGTACCTATCTCATAGAGTTTTTTTAAGGATTAAATGAGTTAATTTACTTAATGTGCTCAATACAGTGCCTGGCTTATGCTAAACTCTTGATAAATGTTAATTATGATTGATACTGTACTGATATCTTGATATAACAATGTGAGAGAGGAATAATTATTGTGATATATGAGCAAATTGAGAATCGTAAAATTAAAAATTTTAGTGATGAAGTTATGAGTAATTGTTCTTGTTTTGCTTTTCTGTACATTTAAACATTTTTTAAGAGTAATTAGGTATTATTTTTATAATGGGAGAAAATAAAGTGAAAAAAATAACCTGGTGACACACAGCTGTCTCCACGTAGGGAAGGGAGATCAGTTAATGCATCCCTTACACTCTGGATAGAATTGAGAATACAGGACAAAACACAATTCATATAGCTTTCCTTCTTTATTATCAATTCTGCTACAATCCTTCAAAAGGGAGGAAGTTAAAACTATGGGTATCTTGGAACTATTAGAATGAATATATTCAAGTAAGCTTGATGATAAATCAACCATCTTTAAAGGATGTACAATTTTGTCACTATATTATGGGAAATATCTAAGAAAAAGAATTGCTCTGCATTCTGGGAAAAAATGGTTAAGTCTAAGCCAGGCTTATTTCAAACTAGGATTTAAGTGGGGACAGAGAAAAGTTAAGCATCCAGAATTGAGCTCTGCAGTGCTTCAAGCTTCAGATTTGGGTAAAGAGTGACAGCCCAGCAGAGGAGACTAAGCGGGAGTAGCCAGTGAGACAAATTCTGATAAGATGTCAAAGAAGATGAGGATAGAAACTTGGCCATTGGATTTGGCAGGATGGAGGTAATTGGTAATGAAGACCAGGGTTGTTTTTGTTGAGTGGTGGGGCCAGAGGCCAATTGTAGTTGGATGAAAGAAGATGAGGGGGATGAAAATGGGGACCACAAGTGTAGGCGTCTCTTCTGAGATTTGCTGTGGAATAAAACAAAAGAGTAGTAGAACAGAAGAGTGGGTGAATGTTGGACAAGGGAGACTTTTTATAAGATGGACAATTTAAGGTGTCCATGTAGGCTGAAGAAAGGGAGAAACTGATGAGGCAGATCAGAGCAGGGAAGACTGTCGGGGCAAAGGAGATGGAATGCAGAACAGAAGCAAAAGAGCTGGACAAAGGACAGCCCGTGTGTCATAACAAGAGAGAAGGCAAAATGCACAGGTGTAGATCAATGTAGATTTGGCGGTAGAAAGATGAGCTGGTTCTTGTCTAATTGCTTCTATATTCTTAAAAACATATGAGGTCAGGTCATCAGCTGAGAGGGAGGGTGAGGAGCAATGTGGCAGGCATGAAGGAAGAACATGTGAAATAGTGACAAGTGAATTTCCTGGGAAAATATACTAGGAAATATTATCTGCCCATCTGAGCTCTGTGGTCACAAGTTTAAATTGAAATTATCACAGTTGTGTGACTTTTCTCAGCAATGTTTAGCTCTTAGAGTATAAATGAAGAGTGAGCAAAAAGCTGTATTCTACTCAGTGGGCTTGGTTAGGAAAGAGTGACCAACAGAGAAGGGTAGGGAAGGAATGGCTATGGGGCTGGACTTGAATATGGGTTAGGCAGAGGGCAAAGAGAAAACATGAAAGGGGTGATAGAAAGTTAAAAAGTGGTCAATTAATTGGAGGTCCTAATGGGGTAAAATTATTAGAATTGAGATATTAGAATAAATGAAATAAATAACAGAAATTAGTGGTCAGAGAGTAGAATGTTCTTAGTGGCACAGTTATTGGTGATGGCATGCTGGCTATGGTCATGGAAGAGGGTGGAGGTAGGGTGGAAAGCAAAATCTTTGGAACGGGGTAGGACAAGGAATTGTGAGACCAGATGTTGCGGAGTCATCTGTGTGGCTGCTGAAGTTTCTAGGTGGGATGTCAGGAGTATGACTGAAGAGGTAGACAGTGAGTGAGATATTGAAATCCCTAATGAAGGCAGGAGAACAACTGGGGGTAGGGAGGCTGGTAAGTAATGACAAGGAGGGATAAAGGGTGATGTAGATCGAGGAGGCAAATAGTATGGCAGCCAAGGGGAGCAAGAAGGAGCCTAGCCAATTTCCAGGTCCTATGGTACCTGGATATGGGAGGAAAATGAAGGGCAGGCAGTACTCCCAGGAGACAGCCAAATTTCCAATGAAGCAAGAAAAAGATACTAAAGAGTTCATAGAAGGAGTGATGGCTATAAGGGAGTTTGCTGATGACAGACTGTAAAAAGTTGGTGATGGGGTGTGGAGTAGGGGCAGGGGCCAGTGAGGAAGCTGGGTCAGATTGGTAGTTATGTAGAGGATAACAATTTGTGTGCAGAGGGCAATGTGGGGGTGATGATGGATATTCTGGAAGACTTGGACTTTTGATGGCATTGGAGATAAACATGGACATAAACTATGATTGCCAGTTGGAGAAAACTGGGTGATCAAATCAAGACATAGTGCCTGGTCCTTGGCAAGACTGGCTCACAGGGCTTGTGAAGAGGTACCAAAAAGGCGAAACGGGCAGTAATTACCACTCGAGTTCACTGTGGGGCAGAGAAAATATTTTTCTTTTAATGTAAATGATACCTGAGTTCTAAGAGGGAGAGTATGTGATTAATCTAAATTTCTTTACAAAATCATTCCAACGAATGTAAGCTAATCATCGGCTTGGAATAACATATAGGGTCCCACTGAGTCATGTGTACGACACCCACTCCCACCAGTAAATAAAAATGGCATCTCCCCAAGACCCCAGGTCTTACCTGGAGCATGAGCCTGTCCCAGGTTTTGGTGACTCCGTTGTTTTTCCACTGGTCATCATTGTTTGGAGGGCTGTTGTTTTGGTACCTCTCTAGCATCTGCTTCAGGAAGAGGTTGGGTGTGAACTATAATAAGAAGAGGCAACACAAGAGGGAGAGTTAGCACACTGATTTTCAAGGAGAGGCAAATAGTTTTCTCTGTCAGTTCCTGGGGACCTGAGCATTCTCTCCTGGAGCAAAACGGTACTCAGAGACACCGAGTACAGCTGGCTGAGGTTGGCATAAGTCGCCACGCAGAGAAGAGACTCTCGTGTTAAAAGAAATCACTATGAGGCCAGAGGAACACATACTGTAGCATGGCTTAGGCTAGGGCAACAGAGAATGTGAGAGAAGGAAATACATAGAATTGAGAGCAAGTCTTAGCTGAGGTAGAATAGAGATCCTCCCACTGGAAGGCCCATGGCCGTGGCAGAGTGGTGAAACCCACAGGGAATTACAAACTTGGGCCCTGGGAGTCAGGCTGTTTGAGTTCAGAATTCTTGCTCTTTCAGTTGCCAACTATGTCACTTTAGACAAGTCACTTTACCTTTCTGTCTCATTTTTTTCTTTTCTAAAATGACAAGAGTGATAATGCCTATTTCATAGATTTATAAGGATTAAGTGAAGTGATGTATGTATTATTACCATGCGTACTGGATTGCCTGGGCATACAGTAAGGGGTTAATACATGTTGGTTGTTATAATAATGATAATTAATATTATCATTTTGCTTTTTGAGGTTGTACTCACAAAGTCTCGTTGTGTTGCTGCTGTGATACAAGATGCCACTTCAAAGGCATATACTATAAACATCAGAATGAAATACTGGAAGGGAAACAAATGAGATAAAATAATTACATTTACCTGTCAAAGAGCGACTTGCCCAAATAATTATGATTTTTCAGCAAATTCATCATATAATCATGTAATCATTCATGTAGTTATTTAACAAACCCTCATTGATCAGTGGCTTGGATTGGGGCTTGGTGCTAGTCAGCTCAATTCTCTCCCTTTCTCCAGAGAACAAATAGCCATTGAATAGAGAGCTTCCTCAGTCCAGTTTTCTGAGTTTTTATTTTAACTGGGAAAAACAAGTACAAGAGAATGAACTGGTGTGTGTGTGTGTGTGCATTTACATGCATGTGCATGCTCAGTGCCTACCAAAAGATCTTAGTGTATCACATACAATATAGGGCCTCATAAATCCACTTTAATTTTGGAATTTTGGAGAAATTTTCTTTACAATTTGCTGAGAATTTAGAATCACAGAGTTCAGAAAAAGATGAACTGGATTATGTTGAATATCTAGGGTCCTTCCTAACAAGCATCCAGCCTCATCAGAGGAGAGGCAGCCTCCAAGTGCACAGCGATTTGCCGGGCGTTCTTTCACATGCACCTGCATTCAAAGTACATCGGCTCAGGTGAGTGAAGTGGTACTTGCCGTGTGTGGTAGTGGTGTTGTGTGTGTGTGTGTGTGTGGGCATGGACACATGGGTGCATGGGCACATGGGTGCATGGACACATGGGTGCATGGGCACATGGGTGCATGTGCATGTGATGCCTCCACATGACAGTGCTGGAAAATTTCTGGCTGGAAAATATCTGAGCAGCAAATGACCTCTGAATCTGGGATGGGGACTGTTTGCAAGAGTTCCATTTTTGCCTTCCTCAGCCTTGCACACACTCTTGGGAGAAGGGGCACTGTGGTCAGTGTCAGCAGGGCAGGCAGGGAAAACTGTCCTCTTTGGGTATGGGAGGCTCTCCGAGCAGGACGCTCTGCCGCCCTCACTACCCAGCCCAGAATAAAGCTCTGGCTGCAGTCAACAGCAGGAACACCTTGAGAGGCCCCAGAACATTTTTTTCCTGTATTAGCTGCTGCCTTGCTCCTTGCCAAGAGCTTTGCTGGCTGCTCATAAAGACGCTCCAGAAAGGAGGCACACAGTGAGGTGTTTCCTCCTTTAGCCCCTTTGCCTCCCCAGCTCACTTCTCCTGGCTGTCAGGCACGCACATGGATGGCCCAAAGTGAGGCTGGGACGCAAGCGAATTTGTCTTTAGGAACACCTGTGTCTCCTCTCCCTTTTTTCCTGTATTCCTTTCCCCACCCACCAAAAGTGGGTACTTTTGCCCTGGAACTTACCCACACTAAGGAACCAGAGAATGTAAATGTTCTGTATTCCGCTGGAACCAGGACAATGGTTAGTTCAAAGAAAGAATGAACTAAGAAGCACCTTACGTTGCTGGACTGAGTCTATAAAGGGGGAACTGAGGTCCTGCAGCATTTGAATAAAAGGTTTATTTCAGGGGTGGGGCATTGGAGGCGTGTTCCATCATAGTGTGAAACTGCTGCCCTAAGTATTGGGGCAGAGAGTAGGGGTCCAGGCCTAACACTGAGGCTTCTCAGCTCTGCTGCCTGCAAATTTGCTTTCTTCTGCAAAGGCAGGGCATGGTCTTGCTATCTGTGTTGGGGCAGAAGCCTCTATTTGATGCACAGAGGTAAAGCCCCCACAGGCAGGTATGAGCTGAAGGCTAACTCCACAGTGGTGCTTATCAAAGTTTTCTGGGGTCCCTGAAAAGCAGATTGGATAATAATGTGGGGAGTATAGGTATGATACAGAATCATCAACCTTGAGCTCAAAAATCTTTGAAAGCTTATACTTTCTTTTAAAAATGTATGCATATTTTGTATTTTATATCCCAATATATTAATGCCTAATTAATATAAAATGTTTTGAACAACTTATTGCCAAGAGAAAAAATCTAACGAATGAATTCTCACTGTGTCTCTCCTTTGGCCTATATTGCTCCTAGTTGTACCTGGGTGTATGCAGACACCAGCTGTAGAGGCACAATATGGAAAATACTCATCAGGCCACCCCCAGGTGTCTCCCCTTTGGCTTCTCTGTACTGGAGTCTTCTGGACTTGCAATAGTGGAGGGCATTTTTGCCTCCACGTGGACAATTTCACTGCAGGGAAAGTGTTCCCCTCCTCACCCCTCATCTGGTACTTGCTGCTCCCCCACTGAAAGCCAAATCTTTGCTCAGTAAAGAAGAAAGAATCCATTAAAATTGGCTCAGGGAGACAACTCCAGAGAAATCTGAGGTCTTACCGCCAGAAGAATTTTCCTGCTGGACTTCATGATGCCTACGATGCCAAGAACGGACAGGCAGAAGAGGCAGATGCCCACAAATATGCCGATCCAGGCAGCCCCATAGATGTCATCATTGTCAGTGGCTTCAAGCAGTGGGTAGAGGCTGTGTTGGTCAGATACAAAGAAAATGCACTCCGCGGTCAGGGCAATGCCGCAACACTGGGGGCAAATGAAGGGTAGGCTCCATCAGAAGTGCAGCTTTGGGAAAGGGGGTGGAGGGCGGCGAAGGTAAGAGACTGGCTCCCTTTCCTGCACAGACTTTATGCAACTAATCTAAACTCCCCATTGCCACAAAATCAAACAACTACTTCCATCCTACCAACTGGTTGCATACACCCCTTCACACGTTATTCTGTCTATTTAGAAACAGACCCACACAATTTCAGACCATCCACAATGTCCTTGGGGCATAAATCACTCAAACAATGCCTTCTGGTATGAGAATGATCTCCCCCTGCCCCCATGTCATGACCCACACTTCTGGGTTGTAATATTTGAGCTGGTCCTGGTCATATTTATCAATGACAGCTGGGAGGAACCTTGCTGCTTATCTTTGCCAACACCCACATTTTATAGATGAGGAATCTCGGCCTTGAAAGGTGATGGCCAGAGTCATATGGGGAGTCAGGGGGAGAGCCGGGCCAAGAGCTCTGGACTCCAAAACAAATGTTCTCCTATGCCATCAGACCCACACAGTGTGACCTCTGTATTATTTTTACACCCTGGTACTGGCCTCTGTGTAAGAACAAGAAGATGCAAACATCTGTCCCAAAACACCTTAACAGCAGAGTCCCACGGAAATCGAACCAAGGTGACATAGAAAAGAAACACTGAAGTGTGTTTGTAGTCAGAGTGTTTAGACACTGACTATGGTTGACATGACTCCTTTTAGATACTTATAATTTAAAGTTGGGAGGGAAATATCTATTTTTTCAACCATGATCTTTTGACATATGGTTAAATTCTAGCTAGCATATTTACTAACATATTTCTTAAAATGAAGCAAAAATATAGGAAGCCAGTAATTACAGCATTATTTTCCTTGAAACTCTTACTTTTGATTAATGTAGAGTTATGATTACAGGAAGAGCAGAATTTCCTGAGAAATAAGCATTACTTACACCAATAATCACATTTCCAAAAATCAGCAGGCCCTGGAAGCAACGAACAGTGGAGTCGTCTTTGGCCATCTTCAGGATTTCCCACAAGCTGAAGGCACAGTTGAAAGCATTACCAAATAACTGCTACAGTTTCTGTAACATGAGTAAACCATGCCATTGCATATTGCCTCCTTGTTCCCAAATGAACCAAACCAAAGCCATATAATCCTTGAGCAATGAAGGACATTTGATTATTGAGCTTAGTAATCACATAACTTTTATAGAGAAGGAAAAGAATATAGCCTTCCAGAGCCTGGTTAGTGCCTTTCAGGAGTTCTTTCAGGCAAGGAGTGTGCAGAATGCATCCTTCTGAGTGGTAGACTGAGCCCCGCAAGGTGGAAAGCACAAGGGGTGGACCTGAGGTGGTGATTGGGCAGGGCCAAAGCACACTGAGGGTCACTGGCATAGCCCTCACTGCCCTTGGCCATGACAAGTGGAAACCTGAAGGGTAAACTCATGGCTACAGTTAGTGGTTGGTTCCCATGTGGACTGTAGGTTGCTTTTAAAAACTATCATTTTCTGAATATTTTATTATCTTCAAAGAAATAGTTGGCAAATAGAAAAGTGCCCTGTTGTATATGAGGGGAAGTGAAAAACGGGGACTAGCATTTACTTCCTTGTACCAGGTGTGTGCCACTCTACCAGGTGCTTTGCATGCACACATCTAATTCTCATAACCCAATTAGGTAGAAAAAGAAGAAAAGTGAGGAGGCTCCATTTTGCAGATGAGGAAACTAAAGCTTAAATTGGTCAATTAAGTTCCCTGGGGTCACACAACCAGTAAGTGGCAGAGCTAGGCTAGAGACCTTGGTGTGTGTGGACTCCAGATACTCTAGAGTCCACGCGCTTCACCACAGCCCACAATGACTCCCAGAAACTATTGATAGACTTTGGTGCCATACACAGCTGAACATGGGTCTTTCACCTCCCTGAGGGTTTTCTGGAAGGAACACAAAGGTAAGCATGTGGGTCAATCACTTGGGCTTCTGCACTTGAAGCACCTTGAGAAAAGCAATCTACAGCTCTCAACATTTAATTCATCAATTCATGCATTCCTGCTGTAAATAAAAAGTGTATTAAATGGTTCAATAGGCATTTTGAGGCATACAAAAATATGTAAGGGAGATTATTGTATTCTAGGATTTTTTGTGTTAGTAGGGAAACTAAGATGCATTCCCACATAACTATACTACATGTAGTGAGACTAAATATTGTGGGAGTCCTGAGGCGGGAAGACGTAAGTCTTGCAGGATGTGTATGGTTTGATACATAGAGTGGAGGTGGATATGTGTGGGAGTGAGGTGGGGGTGGGTGACATTCAGGTAAAGAGGAAGGGAAAGTTAGGGAGTAGAGACAGAAGAGCAAGGTGCCCACAAGATAGCAAACCAGTCAATTTGGCCAAAGTCCTAGTTTCGTAGGATGGCAGTGGAAGGCAAACCTTCTATTTGTCTCAAGCCTTGCTAATTTTAACCTCGTTGTTACACTGTAAGTATTAACAACCTTCCGAGTAAGTTTAGACATCTGTAAATATTTTCCTTTGTTTCCTGGGTAGCTGTGACAATTTGAGTTAAAATTTATGAGCATTTTTGGCTCAGAATTTGGCACACAGTGGGTACTCAATTCATGTTTGCTGGAGAAATGGAAGAATCTGGGCCATTGGGTCTCTGTGTAGTTTCTGCTTAAATGCCATTCATTTCTTTCTGCTTAGAAATTTCATTCATTCTTGCCAGTTATTGTTGCGTGTTAGACTGCACAAATTCCCCCAAGGGGGAGACTTACTCATGTAGCTGGTTGAGTCACATTGTAAAGTTCATTACTGGTATGTACAGACATTATTCCTGACCAGTTGGGTTAGTATCTAAACTAGAGACAAAAGTAAATAGACTGTGAAAGGTATGGGTTCAGATAACAGAAGCATAGAGAGGAAAGGGCAGAAATCAATAGAGGCCAAATTCAGCACCGATATCAACTTGTGCTGATTATGTACTGTGTGAAAGAAGACAATTTCTTCTTTTAACTAGTTTATTTTTATTTTTATTATTATTTTTTGAGACGGAGTCTCACTCTGTAACCCAGGCTGGAATGCAGTGGCATGATCTTGGCTCACTGCAACCTCCACCTCTCAGGTTCAAGCTATTCTCCTGCCTCAGCCTCCCTAGTAGCTGGGACTATAGGCGCCCACCACCACACCCGGCTTTTTTTTTTTTTTTTTTGTATTTTTAGTAGAGATGGGGTTTCACCATATTGGCCAGGCTAGTCTCGAGCTCCTGACCTTGTGATCTTCCTGCCTTGGCCTCCTAAAGTGCTGGGATTACAGGCGTGAGCCACTGCACCTGACCTCAAGGAGTTTAAAGTATGATTACAGCATGGGTTCAAAGCAAAAATGACTGTGCGCATCAAGGGGACAAGGAGGGCTGTGGAGAAGGACAGAGTTAGATAGGCATTACTGAGGGGCTTTACTGGTCCAGAAAGGAACTGCAGGGGCCCTCATCAAGGGAGGTGGCCTGGGTGACTCAATTATGCCCCGTGACTTACAGACTTTTCCAGAGATGACTCTGCCACACAGAGTTTAGTCCTTACAAAGGGGAAAGAGCCAATGAATATTCTGTGGGAGAACTGCAGGAGTCAGAATTAGGGTGGAAAATGCAGATAAAAGTGGGAGAAAAGAAGGAAGACAGGTAGAAACTTGCTCTGAGCAAAAAGAAAAGCATAAATTGAAGAAACCTTAGGCAAGGACATGACAGAAAATGCCAGGCTAAAATCAGGGCTGTGTTTCTTCCGAAGGATCTAGGGGGAGAATCTGTTGTCTTGTCATTGTTTGTATAAAGAAAAGGGGCGGTGCGCGGTGGTTCACGCCTGTAATCCCAGCATTTTGGGAGGCTGAGGTGGGCAGATCACCTGAGGTCAGGAGTTCGAGATCAGCCTGGCCAACATGGCAAAACCCTGTCTCTACTAAAAATACAAAAATTAGCTGGGCATGGTGGCAGATGCCTGTAATCCCAGCTACTTGGGAGGCTGAGGCAGGAGAATCGCTGGAACCCAGGAGGTGGAGATTGTGGTGAGCTGTGATTGGGCCACTGCACTGGGCAACAGAGCAAAACTCCATCTTCACAAAAAAAAAAAAAAAAAAAAAGGAAGCTTGGAGAGATTAATTTGCCCAAGGCCACATTGCTAAAAAGTGCAGAAGCTGAGACTGAATGAGACTGAAACACAGGTCTGCCTGGCCCCAGATCATTTGCTAAACACTCTACAGTTTATCAAGTCCTGCTACATAGCAAATGCTTTCAGTGGAAATAGAAGCACCTGGAGCGGAGAGACCAGCTACATTTCCCTGCTCAGGAGACTCTACCTTTGCGAAGGTCAGAAACACTAGGCCTTTCTTCACTCACATCTCCAGTTTCTTGTCTCTTTAACCCCTTGATATGATGCTCATATTTGCATACTTCCCCCAAACTCGGTGCTCCACCCATATGCTTTTCCAGAAAACCTGTCTAGATGTATCAAAAATCTACAGCTCATCCACCTACCCCCAAGACCAGAATTCTTAGAAGTAAAAGGTGCAATGTGCAAGTCAATGAGAGGTTAGCATTTCATAGCTTCTACTTGGCCACTTGTATTTTAGACTAGGTTGGTGTCTAGAGGACCTAAAACATTTGCTGCATCCCCCAAATGGCCACAAATGTCAAGAGGGAGCCAAGTGTAGGCTTCCAGTGGCTCACATCATAGTCTAATGTCTGCAGTATAATGGTGACCACACTGGACTTGGCATCAGAATGCCAGAGTTCAAGTCCCAGCTTTGTGTTGTCATTATCATTACTGTGTAAAGTTGGACAATTATTTTCCTTAGTGTCTAATTCCTGATTTATAAAATTAGTAGACTACAACTTGTTAGATGGGGTTGCTGTGATCACTAAATGAGATAAAAGATACAAAAGTAATAGGTAAGCACTCAGATTGTTTACACACATAAGAAACTATTAATTATAATCAGAGGATATTCAGGAAGGGCAGGGTATTGGGTTATGATTTTGTTTTCTGCATCAGTGACCCCAGGGGGATAAAAGGGAGGTTTTAACAGTGACTGGTCACAGGTCAAGGGCTCTTAGATTGAGGAGAAGCAGCCTTCCTTCCACCTTCTCTCTCTTCACTGCACAGGGGCTGCTCTGCTTGAGGGATTGGGAGGCCTTACACAAAGATACCCATTTGTACTTCTTTTTATTTTCATAGATGAATTCATGAGAGAAAAGGAAAAACACTTCCTAGTTGTGCTTGGGGTGAGGCCAGAGTCAGGTACCGAGCTGCACATCCACATGGGAGGGGCCCGCCTTGCATGCCATTAGCATTCCTGAACAGTTAACACTCGCCATTGGGCCTCATCCCTCTGGCTTTGGCCAGCTCTGAGGCTTCTGCACCAGACTGCGAGGTGATACAGAGATGGCCCCTGAGGTTGTCCTTGTCCTGGGACCACTTTCTCCCCGACACAGACATTACTCAGAGAGGATTCTGCTCTGCTGCCCTTTTGCATTCTTTCCTCCCATTGCCAACCTGTGGAGGGCATCCTTCACTTTATTGCAAGAGTCTCCGAAGTAGGAGGAGGCATTTGGGACCCTGTTTTATTTGTCTTTCTAGGTCCAAAGCGGCATAGTACCTGACATATAGTAGGTACACTCAATTATTTTGCTAAATAAAAGGATAAAGTAAATAAATAAATGTTTATTTGAATAAATGAGTGTGCAGATTAATAATTTGCCTAGAGCTTTGTTGAAGAGCAAGTTAGAGAATATGGTGAAGTGAAACTAATGTGGCCTTTGTATAGACCTGGGTATGAATCTTAGCTCTACCACTTACTAGTTTTGTGGTCCCAAGAAATTACTTAGTCTCTCGAGCTTTATCATCAAATAAGTATGGTAATACTTAACTTCAAGGGTTACTACGAAAATTAAATGAGAATATATGTGAAGTTTTAATACAATATTAGTTACCCAATACTCATTTTGTTTATTTTTGTCTTATAAAGGAGACAGACTAGAGCTAATAGCCCAGTGTTTGGTGAAGGTACCTAAAACCAGTGATTATTTATTATTATTTTTTTGATACAGAGAAACATTTTCAAAGGAAATAGGGAAATATGATTTCAATAGGGAACTCTAATATATGAAACCAGAACAGAATGGTACTTCTCTGGCTGAAACAGGAGTAGGAATCCTGGGCTCACAGAGCATCTTCTCACCAGCTCTAAACCTCCTAAACACATAGCTAGCCCCAGAGCAATTGAAAACTACTATTCTAGAACTAAAGGAAAAGAAAGAAATAGGCAAATTACTGAGCTCAGAAAGCAGTTACCCAAGAAGTAAGAGGACACTCAAGAGTGAAGTTGAAAAACTCTGGTTACAACGTGTAAGCTGACCTTACAAAGTCTGTGTCAAAGACTCCCCCTTGCCCCCCATTCAATGGAAGACGTCTAGAAAAGTCCTGGAAAACTGAGAAAAGTGACTTTACTTTTATAATACGTTAGCTGGATGGATCTTTAGGAAGAGCTGCTTTCCTGGCACGCTTAGAGGAAAGGTGACATAATTTCTACAAAAGGAAAAGATGAGGCCTGGCTGATGTTTAGGGTTTTTTGAAGACTAATAAATGCCTGTGCAAAGGGGTAGAGTAATGCACTTATTTTTTAGGTTAAAAAAGAAAAGCTTTGACACAGTTCCACACTAATGGATATTAAAACAAAAAAAAGACATTAAGAATTTGTTGACCTTTCCAGAGAGGATAGGCACGGAGGAAGAACAAAAGGGAAGGACAAATGGTGACTTCTCTCCACACAGGATATAAACTGTGGTGTTCTCTAGGTCCTGGTAGTACTTTTGCCTTTGTTAATAACTTCTTGAGTTTTGTCTCTGCCTGCGTGATAAAGAAGTATTGTAATGAACACCTTGTGCTGGTTAATTTTGTGTATCAACTTGGCTGGGATATGGTGTTCAGTTGTTTGGTCAGATATCAGTCTAGATATTGCTGTGAAGATATTTTTTAGATGTGATTAACATTTAAATCAGTAGACTTTGAGTAAAGCAGATTACCTTCCATAACGTGGCTGGCCTCTTCCAGTCAGCTGAAAACCTTAAGAGCAAAAACTGATGTTTCCTGAATAAGCAGCATTTCTGCCCTAAGAGGACTGTAACATAGAAACTCTGTCTGGGTTTTCAGTATGCAGATTTTAGCTTTAAGACTGCAACATCAGGCCAGGCACGGTGGCTCACACCTGTAATCCTAGCACCTTGGGAGGCTGAGGCAGGCAGATCACCTGAGGTTGGTAGTTTGAAACTAGCCTGACCAACACAGAGAAACCCCGTCTCTACTAAAAATACAAAATTAGCTGGGCGTGGTGGTGCATGCCTGTAATCCCAGCTACTCAGGAGGCTGAGGCAGGAGAATCGCTTGAACAGGGGAGGCGGAGGTTGCAGTGAGCCAAGATTGCGCCATTGCACTCCAGCCTGGGCAACAAGAGCAAAACTACGTCTCAAAATAAATAAATAAATAAATAAAATAAATAATAAAATGCCGGGCGTGGTGGCTCACGCCTGTAATCCCACCACTTTGGGAGGCCAAC